TGGGCTGGACATGCACAGGACAAAGTCTGTCTCTGAGAGCTTTTCCTATTCAGGGTAGGGGACACTTGGGGCCTGAGGTGAAGTGGAGAATGAGAAGGTGGTATGTATAGTGTTTGTCATGGGGTTCATGTCCTCAAATCCTCACATAGCTGGACTGGTTAATTCATGGATGCTTTGTCAATGGAGATAATATTCCAGCCTCTACTCTTTCAGACCCAGTAGAACAGAGTGAGGGGAACACAGCTGGGCTCACATCTGGGTCTCCTACTAGTACGCTATGCAACTGTGAGCAAGTCACTTAATCTAAGACTATTTCCTTGTCTGTAAAATGAGGAAAGAGTGATTTATAGTATGAAGGTATTTACATACTACACAGCCTATAGTTAGGCTCAATAAATGTTAGGTATTTTTTGTGAGCTGACTACCAGCCTAACGTAAATCAGTAGCATTGCAGATTGCTCAGCGCCCTCAGGCAGTTGGTGACCTCTGTTTCCAGAGCCCACCTTTCTTTATTGTTCTGTACCACCTTCCTGAGCCTGGCCAGCTTTCCTGGGGTGAGCCAGATGATGGCAGAAGGAACTATCAGAACATCAGCCCCTCTTTCTCCAGAGCATCCACCCCCAACCCCCAGGCTCATGGTGGAAACGCTGGGCTTGGCATTAACTAAGCAAAGAGGCATGGCCCTGCATGCCCAGTCCCAGCTGGAAGAATTACACAGGAAAAGAAAAGGAACACAGATGTCCTGTGCAGCTGGGAAGAGAGAAACCTAAACTATTTTTTGGAGTTCATGACAGAAAAGACCCAGGACTGACATTGTTTTTTTAAATCTTCTTCACCATTTTTTGTAACTTTCACCACCATCCATATCCAGAACTTTTTCATCTTGTAAACCTGAAGCTCTGTGCCCATGGAACAACTCCCTGTTATTCCTGCTTCCCAGCCCCTGGCGATGATCACTATGCTATTTTCTATTTCTGTAAAGTTGATTATTCAAGATAACTCACATGAGGAAAATAATAGTGTTTGACTTTTTGGAACTGGCTTATTTCACTAAACATAACACCCTTGAGGTTTATCCATGAAGTCTCCTGTGTCAGATTTTAGCCCCCTCTTAAGGCTGGCTGAATAGTATGCCATTATACAGTATATGCCAGACTTTATTCATTCAGCTGGCAGTGGATATTCGGGTGGCTTTCAGTTTTTGGCTACCATGGATAATGCAGTTATGAGCATTGGGTTGCGATCTGTTTGTGCCCATGGGTTCAGTTCTTTGGGATATACACCTAGAAGTGGGATTGCTGAAGCATATTCAGGGGTACCTTTTACACCATTTTATATTCCCACCAACATGAGTAGCCCAATTTCTCCACATCCTGGCCAAGAACTATGATTTTTTTTCTCTCTGTTACATAACAGTCTTCCTAGCTGGAGTGTGAAGTACCTTGTTGTGAGTATCATAGTAACTCTTAGCTATTTTCCCTGGAGAAATGGCTATTTAAGTCCTCTGGCATTTTTAAGTCTACATTACTTTTTCACTGTTGACTTGTACTCTTTATACTATCTAAAAACTAACCCTTAAGCCCTTTGAGGTATCTTTTAAATTTCCTCATGGTATTGGAAATTGAGCCCAGGCCCTTTGCACTGAAATATATCCTTGACACTTAAGACAAATTTTTTTTTTTTTTGAGACAGGGTCCCACTAATTTGCTTAGTGCAGTGATCCTTCCATTTCAGCTTCCTGAGTAGGGATTTCAGGCATGAACTATTATGCCTGGCTCTGACACATCCTTAAGTATCTCCTGAAATTGATTTCTTGGAAATACCAAACCCATAAAGTACTCGTTCTCAAGTCTCATGAAACATTAGAACCATCAAATAATTTACAAATAAACTGATACCAAAGTCCAGAATTAATTTCTCATGTAGAGAGTGAAGCATCAGTATTTAAAAAAGCCTCCTCCAAGTGGATCTAAGATACATCCAGAGTTGAAAACCATTGCTTCAGTCTTTTTCCTGCTGGGTATGGTGGCATGAGCTGGTAATCCTAGCACTCAGGAGGCGGAGGCAGGAGGATCACCATGAGTTCAAGGCCATAGTGAATTCAAGAGCAGCCTGAACCACACAGTGAGACCTTGTCTCAAATGACATCTCCTAAAAGACTCTGTTCCTTGCAGGGTACTTCCCACCATGGGCCCTGAGATGTCAGGGTAGCAGTCTCAGAGTAGCAGCAAAGGCAGGTGCTACCCTGACTTTGTCACCTAGCTCTGCTTTTTCTTACCAACCCCAGTGTGAGTCACCATAGATGTACTAATTAGGACAGCAGGCTGCCAGTGCCCTTAGAGAAAGCACAGGAAGGGGAGAGCAGAAGAACTTGAGCCACTCAGAAGCCCAGCATTCATAGTGAGGGCAGAGCACAGGTGAGAGGTAGGGAGCATCTAGTCCAGTGCTGCTGTTAAGAGCTCTCCCTGCAGCTTCAGGGAGACTCCTGGCCTTCCTGTGCACTGAAGTCTCCTTGGCAGACTTCAGAGGAGGGGAGGTTTCAGCTCTGTGAGGGATGATGGAGTAAGCCTCAACCAGGCTGTACCTTAGATCTGTCTATGGAGCATAAACCATATATAGCACTGACTTGCTGGCCATTCCAGAGATGTTCTCATTGCTGGGGAAGTCAATTTGGGAAGCTTCTACATAACTGTGGTGCAGCAGGAGTGAGAACCCCACTCTAGAGGTTCTCCAGCGTTCCTTCTTGGCCTAGCATTCTGCACTTCCTGAGAGTCACTGCCGGCCCAAGACAGCACATCACAGATACTTCCTGCTTCCCACAGCTCATGGAGTATTCACTGACAAAGAAGTCAATTCTGACCTCCATGGCCAGCCCCTCCTATGGCACAACTCAGCACATTTGCCCAATTCGAAGGAAGAGCACTCACCATGGCAAATCACACTGGAGAGGGGAGAAAGCTGGGCTGCCAGTAGGTGGCCAGCTGGAATAAAAGTGGGAGCAGCATGCTGCAGATCTGCTATTTTCAACCAGGGTCTTGTTAAGGGCACAGTGATGCTCAAAGGAAAAGAAACATGGGCCCTAACTGCTGGGAGCCAGGTACCTCTACAGTCTGAGCCCACATGCAGGAGAGGAAGGGAGAGCTCACAGGTGGCTTTATGAAGGCCCAGCCTTGCTGGGCTATGCTTAGGGAGAAAGGAATCAACCTGCAAATAAAGAGCCAACCAAACAGGTGATAGCTGAAGGTGGTACTTTAAGAAGCCCTGCTGGCTGGTGGCACCAGCTGAAAAGTCTATGACTACCTCTCTTCCATCTTTCTCTTGCCTCTCTTTCTCATTCCAAATCTTCAGTTCCCATTTTCAGTTAAATCCCCACTGCTCTGTCCCATAGTTGAGGATTCCCTTCTCTGTAGCAGAGCACTCTGAATGATTTGCTGGGTCACTGACATTGCTTTTTGTTTGCTTTCCCTCTTGGCTGCCCTGGGCCATGCTGGGAAGAGCTGAGCCTTTACCTAGTCATGGATGGGGGAGGGCATGTGAGGTCAGGAAGTGTCAGAGTGCTGGGGCTGAGTCCTGCCCAATGGAAAGGATCCACTCCTGAGGACCTGTGGGAAGTTAGCCTTTTCCAGCTGCTCATCCCTTATTTTGTGTATGCCAGTGGGGTCCTTGAAGTGAACCTGTAAGAATTCACAGGTTTTTTTTTTTCCCCTGGATAATCTATGACAAATAATACAATAATAACTCAGGATAGCAGTGTGACTGACTGCCAGGCACTGTGGTACCTACTCCCTCATTTTTTCCCCTACAATAACCTATTTTCTGTGAGTCCTACTCTTTCCTAGACACCAAACAGAACCATATTCCTGAGTTTCCTGATTTTCTCCTTGCTTGTGACTAGGAGTCTCTCCAGTGGGCTCCTTCAAAGTGGTGAGAACTATACCTACAGTTATAACTCCCCACACAACCACTTGACAATCCCTTCTTGGTCCTCAGAGGGAAGCTACGAAAGTTGTGGTGGCCAAGCCAGAGGAGGGGAGGTTTCAGCTCTGTGAGGAGAATCCCTGTAGAAAACACCCAGGGAGCTGGTGGGAGAGTGAGCCACAAATGCTGCAGCCTGCCACCGCCATCTAGTGGACAGAAGTAGGAAGTAAGGTCTCTCTAAAGGGAGAGACCAGAATGTTTCAACACTTAAGGAACCCAAAGGATCTATCTAGCAGGCAACAGGTCTCATGATGTGACTCTTGTCCCTGCCTCCGACACGGCCAGGATATTGCCTTCTTCCTGTACTATAAATATGTAGCACAAGTCTGCAGAGGAGGTGTCCCTGATACTGAGGACGTGGCCAGTTACAAAAAGCAGCTGAGAACTAAGACTCAGCTCTGCCTGGCTCTCTGGGCCTCAGCTTCCCCAAAGGCCCTGATGACTCTGATCATAGAACCATTGTCCTAATTAGCCTCCGGGGTGAGGAAAAGCAAATGCAAAGCATGTGGAAGAAATAGAGCACACATAAAATACACATCAAGGCCCCAAGAACTGGGCCATCACAGGGAATCAGTGAGTGGTGGGCCAAGGGGAGGTCAAGCCCACTTCTGCCGCAGCTGTCTGCTGGATGTGCATTATCCTTTGTGTCAGGGTGAATATTTGGGGTCAGAGTGCCAGCATTTGTTGTAGAGGGGGAGAAGGGCCCATGGAGAGGGGGAATCCAGGCCATTTTTGCCCATAAGTGGGGCAGTTTTCTGAACGCAGTGTGAAGTGATAGGAAAGAAGGGAGAGGACTTAAAGATCTTAAGATCTTGAAGATCTCTGAGATCTTCATTTTGAAGATGAGCCAGACTCAGGTTAAATGACTTTTCATATAGTTACCCAGCTACCTGTCACTCTTTCTTGTCAAACTTCCAAGTCACTCTTTTTAACACCAGGTCCCTGAAAAAAAAAAAATCCCAGCCAGTCCCAAGACAGGTCAGTTGCATGGTGTTCTGTGATGTCCCCTTCGTTCTTCCTACCTTTCACCAAGGGGAAGAAGCAGTCCATCTCCACGCTGCTTCGGGAATGGGAGATGCACAGGGCGCTGCTGGGGACCAGGCCCTCCTGGGGTGGGCTCCGTTCTGTGGTGCGGACCAGACACCAGCCCGGCCTCTCACTCGGCCGCTCCAGCAGCTCCACCGTCTGCCCCACCTGCACCGTCAGTTCACTGCTGTGGCCCGCGTTGAAGTCCTGGAGGACCACGGTTAACTCGCATCCACCAGAGAGCTTCAGCAGTTGTGGGGGCAGGTGTAGAACATGGGGTTTGGAGGAAGGAAAGGGATCAGGGAGAAAGTGGACAAGAGGGAAAAGGATGAGAGGGGAGGAGGAAGAGGAGGAAAAAGGAAAAGGTGGGATTTGGGGTAAGAGAATACAGAAGATAGAAAGGAGTTGGGAATAGAAAAGAAAACAAGAAAAAGGGTAATTAGTACAACACCATTTGATCACCCAGAAGTTCCAGCTGCAGCCAGTCTGATCCCGTCCAGAACAAGGGCTTTGCTTCTAATTCCTTCTTGCTTTGTTAGAATTCTCTCTATTACTCTTTTGCCACACTTCCAGCCAAATATAGCTTCCAATTTCTTCCCTGTGTGTCCCTTCATCTTTCCAAAGGTTCATCCCTAGGTCCTACCCCGACAGCACTGCCACCCTCCAGACTCCAACTGTGCTGGCATTGGTTTCTAACTCACTGGCTCTCATTTGAGTCTAGTTAGCATTTGAAGATAATGAAAGAGACAGTGTCCTTCCTTCCCACTCTTGCACCATCCCTCTTCCCAACCCTCGCTGAGCCACTAGCCTAAGACACAGGCTGAGAGTACCCCCAAAAGAATGCAGCTTCACCACAAGGACAGAGGTCAAACCTCATCTCTCTGGGAAGGGAAGAGGGTGGTTCCACCCTGGCTTGGCCCCTGGGGGCCAGGGAAGAGTGGGAAGGGAGGAAGAGTGCTCAATTGCATGCAGGAGGAATCTGGGCTGCCCCTAGGGCTGCCCAGTGCTATGCTCCACCTTCCCCAGGCCTGCGTATCTCACCTGCTTGGATTCTGGGGCAGAACCCATAGAAAAGCACAGAGACCCTGGCGGCAGGAACAAACCCTAAGCTGCTTAGTGAGACTGTCACTTTTAACCTTGGCTGTTTGTCCTTTTCTCTCTGACCTCACTGGGAGTCACTGAGTAATCAGGGTTTCTCATTCTAAGCACAGAATCTACTAGACTGGAACAGCAGCTGCCCTTATGGAAAGAGTGAGGGGGAGGGAAGGGCTGGAGTGAGGAAGCTGAGGTCCAGCTTGGAACCTGATATCTTCCAAAGTTCACCTATAGCAGTGGCCCAAAGGGAAAACTCCGCTGTAACACCATCAGGGAACTTCACTGCCGTCGGTACACCTAATATACTCCTCCTAATATGCTGTGCTCCAGTCACATATGCTGGGAGCAATGTCATTGAGGCCCAGGGAAAGGCACAGTGAGTAGGGAGCAGTCCCACCGGGGACAAAAGCTTGGCATCATGACCATGGGAAATTTCCACTAAAGGGGACTTGAATGTCAGAGTGGCCTGGAAAGTTAAAGGATGCCCCAGACTGGTGCCTGCAAAACACATCAACAGCCACAGGGCAGAGACCGTGCTGAACACGTCCCAGGGCAGGCCTGGTACTGTTGCCCAGAGAGATCAGGTAGGATACTGCATGATAGAAGGTGGAAGGGGGAAAGAGACAGGAGAAGATGGAAATGTGCTTGTTGACTCTTTTTCTCAATTTAACTCCCTTTGTCCATTAAGCAAATACATGCCCTCCTCTCTCCACTCTCTCACTCTCTTGGTGCCATTTTCCCTAAAATGCCATTCAGCAAAGGACCTTGTGGGACAGTTCTAGTTTACATCTGTGCAATGCTTTACAGTTCGCAAGCTGCCTGTGTGAGGCGGGTAACAGTGCTGCTACCGTCACCTCATAGAGCAGCACATTTAAGCTTAGAAATGTCCAGGTGAAGGCTGCACACGGAGAGTGCATAAAAATCACCCCAGGAGATTCCAGAATGCAGACTCCCTAGCTGCTGCTCCTCTGTGCCCACACAGGCAGACCTGGCTTTCTCTGGGGCCAAGTGCACACACGGCCAGAGGTGGACCTTTCAGGGCAGCAAGGCGGAGTGCAGCATGGGTGTGGCCCTTTTGCAGACCGTTGAGGCAGAGTAGCCGGGCCTGACCTCTCCTGAAAACATCCCAGGAGACACCCATACACAAGACCTGTTGCTCCCTCCGGCAAGTTCCAACCAGATTTAACATATAGGGCAGAGAGGATAGGATTTGCAGGGGAGGGAGTAGGAAAGGCCTGGACCACCACTAGATGGCGGTGTTTGCCTCCTGTAAGCTGCCTAGTCCACATGGGAAAGTGGAAAGATCAATGGGCAATTTCTACCCAGCTTTCTGCTAATAAATAACCATACTCAAGGTTTACATCCAGACCCAAAAACAATCATGGATCAAATGCAAGATGAATGTCCTGTGCATCTCACTTCAATGGTTTGGTCAAAAAGATTTACTACATTACACTACTCTATTTCTTGGGAAGAAGAGAATTCCAAAGAGTGGCAAAGAAGGGAGAGATGGGAGAAACGATGAGCTGGTGTTAAGTGGAGGAGGGTCTGCCTCTGAAACAGTCCCTCCTTAGCCTCTCCCTAGAGCAACAGGAAGGTGCTAGGCTGCCCAGGGATCAGAAACATACATTTGAGAAATACCACCCAGGAAGCCAGGACTGGAATCAGTAGAGGAAAGCTGCAAAAGTCCATTTAGTAGAGCACAATGGCTGGGGCAGAGAGGTCAGACCTAGACAAACTTGAAAGATTTTTTTCTTGTGATTTTTAAATGTGATTCACTCATGTTTCGTGACAGTTAGTTACATAGAGTGGCCCCTCATTAATCAATAAAATCTCTACCCCCTCACAAATATCAATGCCAATTGTTATTTTCTCTGACAATGTGGTCTTCTGTACTCTGTCAGTAGGTCTGTTCCTCAAAACCCAAAGTATCATTATTTTCGCTTCTTCCTCCCATACTGGAGGTTGAACCCAGGACTTTCACACTGAACTATATATCCACAGCCCTTATTTTTTTTTTTTTTAAACAAGTTTAGGACAGGATTTTGCTAAGCCACTAAGTTTCCTGGGCTGGTCACAAATTTGAGATCCTCTTGCCTTGGTCTCTCTCAGCTGAACCAGAAGCCCTGTGCTTCCATGCCTTTTACTACTCAGGGAACCCCAGCCCCTCCTCTTTCCATTTAAAAGGACCAAACATCTCCTCCTTCCCCTTCTGTCTTATTCCTCAGATTGCAGGCAGCTGAGTTAGAAATATTATAGGCAGTCAGAAAGGGCTAGGCCCTCAAGGAAACAATACAGAAGACAAGATGACTTTGCAACTTTGGGAGGGACAGGCCCCTGCTGTGGGCCAGACCTCCAGCAAAAGATCAAGCAAATGCATAGCTCCCTAAGATAGTATTCTAAATAGGTCTCTCACCTTGAGGATGCCTGGAAGTCACTAGCCCAGCCTTCCTACAGGAAAAGCCCCAGTTCCGTATTCCTGTCCACTTGCTACCGCTGACCATAGTTTTGTCCCATCTCATGCCCACCTAAGCGGGATTCCCTTGTTTTCCACCTTGGACCCGCCTTACCATGTGGTTTTACTCTATAAAAATCCCAGAAAGACAGATTTGGGGGCAACTGGCTCAGGTCCCCCTTCTGTTACTATCTCAGACAGAAGCTTTCTTTCCCCCAATAAATATTCTACTCCATTATTCCTAAAACTCATTCTCCAGCTTTAGAGAACATGAACTTGGCCCAGCTATCTTTCAGGTCAGGAGTTTCCTTCCCCTATGTCACCACCACCTCGCCTGGCCCTCTATGGTGGTATATGTGGGAAGCTCCCAGAGCTCAATCTCTGATCCCAGGATTCTCATGTTTATGTTGTAGAAAATGTTGTAAACAACATCTCTGTTTTCCCTTCATTCTTTTTTTTTTTTTCCCCTCACAGCCCATGGAAATGGTTTTAATGTTCTTGGCAAATTGTTAGATCTTTATTCCATATTTCTTAGCATATTTGTCTTCTTGTTTCCTGTTTTAAGCCTGCCCAAAGTTCCTTGCACTTGGTTTCATTTTTATCGCTTCTTTTTCAGAGATGACTCATTTGTGTGTCCTAATTTTTCTTTTCTTCTTCCTTTTTATTTTGGCAGCACTTTCCTTCCTAAATCACCTTCCATAGCCTGATGCAACACACATCTTGCCTCTCATGGTTCTCTTCACTTACTAACCCCTGCGAGAGAAGGAGCTGTGAAACCCTGCCCAACTTGCCCTCTGTACACCACCTCCCCTCAGCTTTTGATCTCAGTCCTCACAAGGGTAGACCCATTCTCAGCCCAAGCAGCACCCAGGCCCCTGGGCACAACTATTCTGCATCTCCCACTCTGCAAGGCTCTCTCAGACCTCTGCTCTAACAGTTACTTTTATTGTCAATTCCTTAAACTCATTTGCTCCTGCACTTCCCTCACCATTCCCCATCTCGCTTTTCTGATGCCTCTTTCCTCTGCTCCTTCTCAGACTTTGATCTGTCCATAATCTCCTTCCTAGTGCTCTGGCCCGCTTCTACAGTTTGCTGGTCTGTTCCTGAGGGGCACAGCTCTTTGTTTTGTTCACAGACTTTAACTCATCCTCCTATGCGGATTTTACTCGTAGCTTTCTGGTTGCTCCCCCCTTTTTTATTGTTAAATTTTTATTTTTGTTTTGAAACTCTGTACCATTTGTACTGTTGCTTGTTATTGTTTCTTTCTTTGTTTCTGCTATTTGTTTTTACTCTTTAAAATAAAATTTTTTAAAAAAGAGGCTGAGTTCAGCAGGGAACCCAATGACCAACAGAGGATATTATGGAAGTGAAAAAATGGTTCACTAAGAAGAAGTAGATCATTACAACTCAGCTTACTAGCAGGACACATTTTTCTATTACCTGTGTCACTGTCCAACTTGAATTGTTTCCCAACCGAGTACTAACCAGACCTGACCCTGCTTAGCTTCTGAGATGGGATGAGACCAGGCTCTGAGATGGGATGAGACCAGGCTGGTTCCTCCCCTTTGAAATGCCTTTTTACTGAGCTGACGTATGCTAGGCATCAAAACCAGAAACACAGCAATCAGCCCCTCTCCTTCAAATATTCTCAAGGGAAAGCAGGTCCTGCAGAGCAGACCCTTTCTACCCACCT